CCCCATTGCCTGGTTCTACACCTGGTCCTGGTCTGGCGTGGTGAGGGAGTTATTTGGGGGCGTGGGGAGGACAGGGGTGCATCCCCTCCTGTTGGCCTGGACTCTCCTCAGGACCCATTTCCCCCTACCCCTGACAGAGCCCCAGTGTTGCTGCTCATGTTCAGTGTCCCATCAGAGCCCCATTTGGCTGGGCCAGAGCTGTCAGTTTGTTCATTCAGCTGACACTTGATGAGTGCCTGCTGGGTGCCTACGCTGTCCTGGGCCTCGGGGCCGGAACAGTGAACAGAACAGACCATGGACACTCCCTGCCCTTCTGGAAAGAAACAGACAAAAAGGGGAAGCCGTTTTGGGAGGTGACTGGGAAAAAGTACTGGGGGAAAGTGTCTATTTCCCTTGACATCTGGTCTGAGTCCTTAGGGAGGTGAGGAAGCAGGTGGAGGGAACAGCCAGTGTAAAAACAGGTGGGAGAACATGTGGCCTTTGTGGGGAGCTTCGAGGTGGCCCACGTGACTGGACCTGAAGAGTGAGGACGGTGTGTGGATTATATACACAGCCTTGTATGCTAGGGTCAGGATTTGGGACTTCATTCTTGGTGAGAGGAAGCCTTGGTCCTGGGGGTGGGGGGCAGTATGAGCTAAGGAGCAATAGGTTATATGTTACCTATCTTAACAGGCCCCCTCTGGCTCCTGGGGCAGAACCTGGAGAAGAGGCTGGGCCATGATTGGGGGAGGGGAGGTGGTGGAGTGTTGGCAGTCGAGGTGAGGAGGGCTGGGATCTGGATTCCTGTGGGGCTGCTTTGTCCTGCCAGCTACTTGAATCCCCTCCAGTGAGGCTGGGTTGACCCCATCCTTATGTATATATGATCAGAAGGAGCACAAAAAGCACAAACACTACCTTGCGGAACATGATTGTTGACATCTTGGGACAGGGTGTCCTAAAGGAAGCCTGACTTCCCTAGTGCCCCTTTAGTGCTCCTTGTCCTTCTGGGCCTTCTGGAAACTGCCTGGCTGGCTGTTCCCCCACTGAGCCCACAAATGTTTTAAGAGGCCCTTGCCTCCCAAACCTCCCTTCTCAAACCTGCTAGACCTGGAGCAGCATCTGCGTCCCCCAGTCATGGGCCCACCTCCCAGGCCTTCCCATGCAGGAATGCCAAGCAGCTCAGCACCCCTGCCTGTCCCAGATTCAGACTCCCATCCCCCTCCATTAGGATCATGGCGGTCACCTGGTGCCTGGGACCTGTGTAGGAAGAGGGAGGAGGGCTGAGGTAGGATAGTATCCAACTGGCCTCAGACTACCAGATCCAGCCTGTGGGGAATTGGGTGGGCATTCCAAATACTGAGCACCAAAACAGGCAAAACTTGTTCTGGTGCGACTAGCATTCTAGTTGAGGAAACAAGCAGGAAACGAAATAGAATGGAAACGAAATAGAATATAGAACACATCAGACGGTTATACATTCTATGGGGGGAAAAATTATGAAAGGGGAACCAAGATCAGTAGGAGAGATGGCACTTTTAAGTTTGTCAGTGATGGCCTCCCTGAGAAGGTAACCTTTGTCCAAAGTTCTGAAAGCAGTAAAGATGCTCCTTGGAGGTGTTTAAGGCCAAAGAAACAGGAAATACAAAGACCCTGAGCTGAAAGCTGGCTTGGCTTTTCAAAAGAGAAGGACAAGCAGGCTTTGGAACCCAACTGCCCCTCTCATTTCTGGCTAACACACTGAGGCTTGTCTGATTTATTTTCCACATTGGCTCAAAGGTCTCTCCCTCCTACTTTGGGGATGGTGAGCTGGCCCAGGTGTAACTTTAGCCTTGGGGATGTAGTGTTGGGGGAGGGGACATAGGCAGCCAATGATGCCATCCTTACCTCCCTCCTCAAAGGCACCAGGAGCCGCTGGATCTTTAAAAAGAAACACAAGTGGGAGAAGTAGGTCGCCCCTGGAGCAGCTCAGCCTCTTTTCTGGAGTGTCAGGAGGCAGGAGGAGCTGATGGAGTCCCAGCATCCCCCTTCACTGCATTTGCCAGTCCTGACCTGGAGAAAGTCTGAAGGGGGAGGAGAATCAAATTCAGGGTTTGGTGAGTCACACAGCCATGGCTTCAAACCATTCTGGTGCCTGTTAGTTGTGTGATCTTGGGTAAGTCACTTAGCCTTTCTGTGTTTCAAGTTCTTCATGTCTAAAACAGGGGTAAGGGTGCCTGGGTGGCTCATTCGGTTGTGTCTGTCTTCAGCTCAGGTCATGATCCCAGGGTCCTGGGATGGAGCCCTGCATCAGGCTCTCTGCTCAGTAGGGAGTCTGCTTCTCCCTCTCTCTCTTCCTGTGTGTGCTCGTGTGCTCTCTCTCTCTCTCTCTCCCTCCTCAAATAAATAATAGGGGTAGAATACAGAAGCATCTCCACAGTCAAGTTCTAAAGTAAGGGCAATATTTAAGTCAGTGTTAACCCTGACATTATTTAAAACAGCTGTCATTGTTTCTCTGGGTGAAGCAATTGGCTTGGGTTGGGGGACGTGTTTGAGAAATGGTGACCTTTAAACACAGATGCCCTGTGAAGAGATGCTCAGATAGGGAGACTGTTGTAGACGGAGAGGCCTTTGTCTCCCATCTCAGATTCACGGTTGGGCACTAGCTCCTTGAATTTCTTTTTTGCCCCGAGCGCTTCTAGTTGGGAGTAAGTTTGCTGTGTACAGGGCTGTTGTGAGAATTACATTTGGAAACTGCCTGACAGGGAGTAAAGTAGTTGCTTAAGAAATAGGGATATATGGGTGCCTGGGTGGCTCAGATGGTTAAGCGTCTGCCTTCGGCTCAGGTCATGATCCCAGGGTCCTGGGATCGAGTCCCGCATCGGGCTCCTTGCTCAGCAGGGAGTCTGCTTCTCCCTCTCCCTCTGCCTCTCCCCCTGCTTGTTCTCTCTCTCTGTCTCTCTCGCAAATGAATAAATCTTAAAAAAAAAAAAAAAAGAAAGAAATAGGGATATGAAGTGACTGGCTGTCTCAGTCGGTTGATCTTAGGACCCTGAGTTCAAGCCTCACATTGGGCATGGAGCCTACTTAAAAAAAAAAAGAAAAGAAAAGTGAAAGAAATGGGGGGAAAGCCTGGATTCAGAACTCAAATCCACTAGCTGGGGGTAAGAAGAAAGACTTCCGTGATCACACGAGGGCCAATACCGTGGACCACAAAAACAGCAGGGGTCACTTTATTCTGCCTGACTCTCCTCTCCCCTGAGGCTTGCGCAGAATCACTGGAAACTTGACATATTAATAGGAGCGGGTGAACATTAAATTCTCTCGCGCATCTCCAGCTTTCTTCCCATCTGATCCTTATCTGGGGCAACTCCCAACCCTGAGCAGAAAACTCCTACTGTTAGCACACCTCCCGAATCTTCCAGTCCCAGTCCCTCAATATCACTCTTCCTTCCGCTCAACGCCCACCTCCGAGGGGTCTCCTGACCACCGGGTTTTGAGTCACAGCCAGAATCCTTATGCGCGGCGATGCGGGCGCGCGGTGAGACGGGATTTGTAGTTCTCGCGCCTCAGAGTATGCGAGGGAAGGCCATTGCGCATGCGTAGGCGGCAGCTTTCTGCACATGTCTCTCCAGCCGGGTTTCGGTCCGCCAAGGAGGAAAACCCGATTCCTCCTTTAGGGAGTCTCGGAGTGGCGTTAAGCACCAGCCGACCCTTTTCAAGTCTGGAAGGCCCCAGTGCTGGCTGGCAGGAGAGGTCTTAGGTACCTGTTTTTCATGAATGAACGGAGGGGGACTGATTTGCTAACGGGAAGTCGGCTGGGAAACCTATCCCCTTCCTCCAGGCTGGAGCAAAAATTAACCTACCACTCCTGGAGCCAAAAAGTCCCTCAAGACAGGGCTGGGTTGTCCTTGGGGATTAGAGGCCTAGTTGATTAAATTCAGTAAATATTGGCTTAGGGCGTGGCTGAATACAGTGAGTGGAACGGCCTTGAGCCTCTCCCGGTAAAAGCCAAGTTTTTAAAGAATGATTTGCCGCAGGCCTGGTAATGCTTAACTTGATGATCTCTCACCCAGCAAACTATTCTTATACCCATTTTACTAGCGGGGAAACTTAAGACTCCCAAGTGGCGGGAGGTTGCCCATCTGTTTATCAGCCTGGCCAGGAGGGGGGAAACCGAGGCCCCAGGGTCTCCAGCTTCTCCCTCGTCTGCTGCTCCACTCTTAAAAGAGGTGCCCTACTTTATCCTCAGATGGCGCAAGGATTATGAAGATGTCTTTCATCATGACCCTGCCCTTGCCTAATTTTCCTGCGTTGTTTCACCTCATTCAGCTCCAGGTAGGGAAAGAGATTAGGCCTTTCGCTTCAGCGTTTATTCATTTCTTTTAGAATTTTATATCCTTGTGGGTTTTTCTCATGTCCTTGTAAAAAGTATCAAACAGTACTGGAAAATAACACAAAACGTGGCAGAGGCTTGTGCAGGAACGCAGCCTATCTTAGGCACCCCCTTTGTCTGGCTTAGTCCTTCCTTTGTCTCTGGGGTCTAAAATTCACGCTAGGCTCAGTACCCTCCGATCTTTCCTTGAGGACACCTACTGTGCTCTTCTCAGGCACCTTCTGGATGCGTGTGGCGGGGGGAGGCCCAGTTTTATTCGTAGAGAAGGGGGTGAAAGGCACAACTGGCTGTGGCCGAGAAGTTCACGGGTCCACCACATACCAAAAGTCCCCACGCGCCACCAAACTCAGCTCCCAGCAAAGAGCTGCTCTCAGGCCTGCGTGAGAGACGCTGAGAAAACGAGATACTGGGAAGACCGAACGGCCAGAGAGGCCCGGCGAGCCGCCTACACTTCGGTCACGTGACCAGGTCTCGGCGGGGCCTCGGTCTCCCCGGTGCCGTTCCACGTGTTACGGCTGTGCCTTCCGATTGGCTCCGCTGGGCCAATTTGAACGGCGTACGGAAGCCGCCACGGTTCATCCACGGCCGCGTTTTTTTTTTTTTTTTTCATTCCCTCTCTTTGGCTCCCTCCTTCCGCGCGAGTCTCAGGAGAAGCCGCAGCGCAAGGCGCCGCTGCTGCCACCCGGGGCCGGGTAAGTGGGCCTTACCCGAAGCCCGACCGGCTGGGCCCGGGCTTGCGTTGACCCCCGCGGGGCTCCGGGTCTGCGCCGCGCGCGGCCCGGCCGTCGGGGCCGCGCCTGACCGGGAAAGGCCGAGAACTCGGTTTGGGCCCCATTCGCGAGGCAGCGAGAACGGGCCGGGGCGGGGGAGGGGGAAACCGAGCCGGGGTTAGGGGGTGGGGCCTCGGAGCCCGGCGAGATCCCGGTGTCTCGAGAATCGGGCCAGTGGGGCGGCTGGGGTCGGGCTGGAGGGGATCTGGGGGAAGGGCCTGGGGACTGCTTAGGGCCTGATTGGGGAATGTCGTGAGGATCAGATGTGTGTGGGGGGGATATTTAGGCGGGGCTTTGGTTGGATCTGGTTGGGGAAGGCCTCATTGAAAAGTTGGGGGTCTTCTTGGACCCTGACAGGGAGGGTCGTTAGACTTCGTTCTAGAGGGCTTTGCTGGGTCTGACTTCGAGGCGTCGCTAGGATCCGTTGGGGGGAATGCTCTGGGAGGTGTTCGGCCAGGCCTAACTGGGGGAAGCTGCAGAGATCGGACGAAGTAGGTTTCCACCTCGAGGTGGTGGGGGGCTTGGCCGAACTTGACTGGGGGGAAACAACAGAGATCTGCTAGCAGGAGTTAATGCTGACGGGGGTAGGAGTGGGGGGAGACTTGGCCAGATCTGATTGGGGAAAGGGACAGGGACCGGTCCAGGGGTCATCTTTCACGGGGTGGGCGGGATTGGCTGGCTCTCATTCGGAGAGGCAACTCGGACCTGTCCGGGTATTGCTTCGGACCGGATTAAGGGGAATCTCTGGATGGAGACTGGCTAGGCCAAAAAGAGGAGCGTCTGGCATCCGGCTCAGTTTGGAGGGGTGGATTAGGGGAGGTGGCAGGGATCGGGACGATTGGAGCACCTTGGAACCGTGCATCTGGGAGGCTCAGTGACCAGACCGAGGCAGAGGAGGCGGCTGGGATCTGGCGGAGCTTGAGGGCTGGATTTCGGAAAAAGAGGGTTCTTTGGGGGCCGTGTTTGGGGGAGACTACGGGGACCGGGGCGCTATCGCGGTCTGGAGCAGGGCCCCTGGATGGACAGGTGGCTGGGGCCTTGCCTGGCGGCTGTGAGGCTGGCGGAAGCCATAACGCCCGCAGCCGGGGGAGGCGGCATGGGCCGCCCTGGGACGAAAGCTCCGTGCTGGGCCCGATGAGGGCCGCGGCCGGCTTCCATATCCCCTCACCTGCGCTCCCGAGCCCGAGACTGCGCGGACGTGGATGGCGCAGCTGGCGGGGACCCCGCACTTGGGCTGGTGTGGATCGGCGGCCTCCGCCTGTCTGCCGAGGGCGCTCCCGTCGCGCTGCCGCTACAGCCACTTCACGGGGGCTCAGCCCGGGTCTCACACGGGGCCCCCGGGACCCAGCGCTGACCCCTGCCCCTACCCCCGCAGCTCACCTTGCGCCATGGACTGGCAGCCAGATGAGCAGGGCCTGCAGCAGGTCCTGCAGCTGCTCAAAGACTCGCAGTCGCCCAACACAGCCACGCAGCGCATCGTGCAGGACGTATCCTTCCTTCCTTCCTTCCAGGCCTAGGGGGAATAGGGCAGACATCTGCAGCCCCTGAAGGCCAGAGGAAGGGGCCGATTCCCTAATTCCCAGACTCTCTTATGACAGGAGCTAGCTTTGGCAGAGAATTAGGTATTAGAATTCTTGGGTCCCATTTCCAGAGGAAATGTGGCCCTGTGGGGGAGGGGAGGAACACGTTTGGCTGGCACTTAGTTTTTGTTTAGGTTTATGGTTAACATTTCTTTTTCCCAGTTGATGCTTAAAGTAAGTTAAAGCTTAAGGTATTTAAACTATCAGCAAGTTTTACTTGAAAATATGGATTCCCTTCTTTTTTAAAAAAGCAGGCAACATGGGACTGTTCATGAGCAGGACCGAGTAGCAGCTGCCTTGGTCCGACAGTGCGGCTCTGCCAACCCTCTCCTGCTCCGGCCAGGTCTCCGAGAGTGGATGGGAAGCTCAGGTGTGCTCTTCCACCTGCTGGATGACTTTGGTGTGCCTGCAGAGCTGTGTTGTTCTGGCGTGGGGGTTGACAGGTGGGGTCTCAGGAGCTGTCTGCCTGGTCCCAGTGGTCAGAAGGGCTTTTAGCTACATGACAGTAAGGGGACCCACCTGGGGAAGGCCCTTGTCTCCCAAGTGCCTTAACAACCTGGCAGAAACTCAAACAACTGAACCAGTTTCCCGACTTCAACAACTACCTGATCTTTGTCCTGACCAGACTCAAGTCGGAAGGTATGCTCCCAGTGCCCCTCCATTCGGGCGGGACCCTGCTTTCTCCTCTGTGCTCCCCTGACCCTCCGCCCTCCACCCCCAGATGAGCCAACTCGTTCCCTCAGTGGTCTCATCCTCAAGAACAACGTGAAGGCACATTACCAGAGCTTTCCGCCACCTGTGGCCGACTTCATCAAACAGGAGTGTCTCAACAACATTGGCGATGCCTCCTCACTCATCCGAGCTACCATAGGTGAGAGCGAGTGGTGCCCCAAGTCCTTACTCTCGGCGAAGGAGCTTTTCACTGTGTTAAGGGTATCGATTCACTGATGACTGCAGTATCGTGGATGGTAGCACTGTTAGTGTTGCCATTTTACAGATGAGGACACTAAAGTACAGAGATGTTAAGGGACTTACCCGGTAAGTAGCAGAGCTCAAGAGCGACCAGTGCAGGTCTGTGCTCTGAACCACTCCCTCCTGAAGCAGCCATTCTCACTTTGGAGGCAGTCACTCCATGTCCAGAATTCTGTTTAGGTCCTGAGGGTATAGCACATTAGAAGATGAGCCCCCCCCCCAATCTTGTGGAGTTTGGTGTCTTCAGCTAATCCTCACCAATAATGATGAGGTGAAATGGGAGTTTGGTTTGTGTTTGGAGCCTTCCTGACTCCCAGAGGGCTGTCTGAGCAAGTTAACATAAGGACAACTGAGAATTCTCCAGCAATTTGACCTCACGCGTCTTCGCTACTGAGAAACACCAACCCAGTTCTTTATAATTGACTTGCTTTTTTTCCCCACCTTTATTGAGATGTAGTTGGTATAAAACCGACTTATGTTTTTATTCTTTAACATCAACTTTTAAAAGTTGGTTTTAGGAGAAAGTTGTATACGACTTTTAGATGACAAGACATTTGCATGCGGTAAAGGGAAGGTAACCTTAAAAACGTGTGCTAAAGACAGAAAAATAGTATTAAATTTGAGCCAGATACTGGCTTGCTAGAAGTCCTGATCTCGGGGCCTGCTACCCTTAGCCCTGACAACACCCCCTGTGAGGCCAACAGAAGGATCGGATTTATCAAGTTCACTAGGTAGCCGGGTTCTGCTCTGAGTGTTTGAATTAAGGTATTGAAACTTCCAATAGTCCTAGGGGCCCGTGCTTTTATCCCCCATTGAGCCACAGAGAGGTCAGGCCATGTGGCCAAGGTTGCACAGACAGGGATGGGGCTGTGACCGCACTCCCAGTCCTCGCGGTCTCCCTACTGCAGGGAACGCCTTCCCCCGCAGAAGCGGGAGGCAGGGTCATCTGGAGAGGTGGCAGGGCCCGCTTTACCCCTGCTGGGGAAACACTGCCACCTCCTGGCTTCAGTACACTCTCTGCACCGCCCTCACCTGAATTCAGCTCAGCTACCAGACCGCGTCTCGGCCCTTGAGCTGTGCATACCTATTGCAGGCTGCTCTTGGGCTTCTGCTCAGCAGTACAAGTCTCCCCAGGGCTTTATGGGCTGTCAGAACCTGAGCCTGTCACCTCTCAGCCCTCACCGCCTCCCACTTGGCCCGCGACCCCCCCTCCCCCCCGCAGCCCGCTCTGCTCAGCCCCTCTGGCTCCTCACCCATCTTGGAGCACACCCGGCCTGCCCTTGCCCCAGGCCTTGGCACCTGCCATTCCCTCTACCTGGGATGCTTTTGCCCCCGGGAGTTGGATAGCTTGTCCCTCATCTCCTTCAGGTCTTTGCTCACGTAGCAAGGTATCACCTGGGTGAGGCCTCCTCTAGCCACCCATTTTAAAATGAGGCGACTGGCTGACTTGGTCAAAAGAGGATGAGACTCTTGATCTCGGGGTCGTGAGTTCAAGCCCCACGTTGGGTGTAGAGATTACTAAAAGAAATTAATAAACTTAAATAAATAAAATGGCTGCCCTCAACCTCAGCCCTTGCCAGCCGTCTCTTCTGCTTTAATGACCCCCCTTAGCTTTCAGCATCTAGCCTCCCAGGTCTTTTGCTCATTTATTTTTACCTGGAAGCCTCTCTCACTAGACAAGCAGCCCCCAAGGGCAGGGATTTTGTGTTTAGTTCTGTGCTGCATCCCAGGGCCCACAACGGAGCTGGCTTACAGTAAGGCTCAGAGGATCTTGAAAGGAGTGTGTAGGGCTTCTGGGGGACTGTGCCTGGACAGCCTGCGAGCCAGCGGAGCAAGTGCGCGGCAGGCCGGCCCGCACCTAGCACGCAGCCTGAGGCAGCGTCCTTTCCCGGCTGCCCCAGGCATTCTCATCACCACCATCGCTTCCAAGGGCGAGCTGCAGATGTGGCCCGAGCTGCTGCCCCAGCTGTGCAACCTGCTCAACTCGGAGGATTACAACACCTGTGAGGTAGGTGACTAGCTGTGGCCCACCTGGGTGGGAGCTGGGGTGGGACTGGGGTTCATGGCTGTCTGCCCACTCTTCTCCACTCAGGGAGCCTTCGGAGCCCTGCAGAAGATCTGCGAAGACTCATCTGAGCTCCTGGACAGTGATGCCCTCAACAGGCCACTCAACATCATGATCCCCAAGTTCTTACAGTTCTTCAAGCACTGCAGCCCAAAGATCCGGTCGGTGTGGCTCCCCAGGGAGGGGGGCCTGTAGGGGGTGGGGCCGGGGTTGACCCAGGTGCCCACTCGCCGCCAGGTCCCATGCCATCGCCTGCGTGAACCAGTTCATCATGGACCGGGCCCAGGCACTGATGGACAACATTGACACCTTCATCGAGGTGGGCTGCCAGGCCGGGGTTGACCAGGGCAAGGGCCGAGGGCCATGCTGCAGCTGATCCCACCTTCCCTGCAGCACCTGTTCGCCCTGGCCGTGGACGATGACCCCGAGGTGCGGAAGAACGTGTGCCGTGCCCTGGTGATGCTGCTGGAAGTGCGGATCGACAGGCTCATCCCCCACATGCACAGCATTATCCAGGTGTGCAGCACCAAGGCAGGCCCAGGTGGTCTGTGGGGCGGGCAACAGGTGGGGAGGGCACCCCTAGCCGGGCCGGGCCTTAGCCTTTCTCCCACCCTGCCCTAGTACATGCTGCAGAGGACCCAGGACCACGATGAGAACGTGGCCCTGGAGGCCTGTGAGTTCTGGCTGACGCTGGCCGAGCAGCCCATCTGCAAGGAAGTCCTGGCCTCCCACCTGGTCCAGTGAGTGGCACCCCTGCCCTCTGCCCCACCTCGGCCTCCACCCCTGTCTGTGCTCTGCCTACCCTCTGGTTATCTCCTGGGTCACTCTCAGTCTGTGTTCTCTATCTCTGTTTACTTTCTGTCCCTGTGTATGTTGATTTGGCAAGTGATAAGATAGTTTTTAATGACTTAAAAATTAGGTAAGTTGTAGGTGAAAAAAACGAAAAGTTGACAAAGGCTTTGGGCATAGCTGGATCCAGGTGCTCAAAAGGATATAAAAGACGCCTGTGTGATCTCAGACCTACGCCCTACGTGTTGTCGGGCACGACCTTCCCCCTTGGTAGTGCTGGGGCCTTCTACTACCTTCAGGCTTAGGAACCTCAGAGGAAAGAAATTCTCTCTCAACCAGTATCTCTAGCACAAGTCGTAGGGCTGACCCTCCTTGACCAACTTGGATCACTTGCCTATCCCTCAGTCATGAATCAAAGTTTCCAATTCCCAGGTGCATGGGCTCTAGCTGGGGAGAGGGGCTGCCCTGCCTATTTGCTCATCTGACCTGGCCCATCCCAGGGAAGGGCCGTAAGTCCTCCTTGCCTTACAGTATGCTAGGGATCAGACACTGTTCTAAGCTTTTTGGTGTATTCAGAGGTCTGGAATTCCCTGAGTGGCCAGGTCTGGGTCAAGAACCCCCTTGTGGAGCCAGGAGTGGTGTCTGCTTTGTCCCAGTCCCAGTGGCTAAAACTAGGTCAGGATAATGCCCCTAAGTTCCATACATTGCTCCTTGGCTCCGTGATGCTTCCCCCTCGGGGGCCCCTGCATCCCGATGAGCAGCCTCTCTCCCAACAGGTTGATCCCCATCCTGGTAAATGGAATGAAGTACTCAGAAATTGACATCATTCTGCTCAAGGTCAGTCAGGGCCCACCGCCGGGCATAAACGGGCAGGTGAGGGCTGGGGCATTGAGGCTCGGTTTCCCAGTGGTGCTTAGTGATCTGCCCGGCCCCACAGGGGGACGTGGAGGAGGACGAGGCAGTCCCCGACAGTGAGCAGGACATCAAGCCACGTTTCCATAAGTCCCGCACAGTGACGCTGCCCCATGAGGCTGAGCGGCCTGATGGCTCAGAGGACGCGGAGGATGATGATGATGACGATGCTTTGTCCGACTGGAATCTGAGTGCGTGGCCCGGCCTGTGGGGGCTTGGTGGTGCTGGGGGAAGGCAGCAAGCCCAGGGGCTGCCTCTTGGGAGGTGATGAGAGGCCTACTCAGAGCAGATCGTGAAGATTCTAATCATGATCTCTGATCCTGGGGGGGTACAGTCTAGGAGGCTGGCAACCTGTCCAAAGGGCCTCCCTGAGCCTGCCCCCACATTTCCCCTCCCCCATCCCAGGGAAGTGCTCGGCAGCTGCGCTGGATGTCCTGGCCAACGTCTTCCGGGAGGAACTGCTGCCCCACCTACTCCCCCTGCTCAAGGGTCTCCTCTTCCACCCTGAGTGGGTGGTCAAAGAGTCAGGCATCCTGGTGCTGGGTGCCATCGCTGAGGGTGAGTGCCCCACTGGCGTGGTCGGGCCTGACCTTGGAGCCCCGTGCTGGCGGGAGACTGTGGAGCTGGTCCGGGCCGGGCTGTGTTGTGTAGCCGTGCGGCCCGGTGGACCCCAGCCGCAGGTTCTCTCTCAGAGGCCTGCTCAGCCCCCACCAAACAGCTCGGGGATTTGAATCTCCTCCTCAGCCTCTGGGCCTGAACGGAACCCCCAGGCCCACGATGCAAGCCCTCCCTTTAATTCTCACAGACAGCAGTTCTGTGGGGTTGTCGGCACAGTTACGACTACAGCAATAACCAAGGGCAGCCTGCCAGATGAGGTGGGGGTGCATAGATGGGGACGGGGGGCCCACCTGATGAGGTGGGGGTGCATAGATGGGAGGATGGGGGGCCCACCTGATGAGGTGGGGGTGCACAGATGGGGGACGGGAGGGCCCGCCTGATGAGGT